GGTTCGAATCTCGTTGAAGCCCTGATTTTTTTCAGGCTTCTTCTTTCCAATTGCTTAAATTGGAAAATTTGCTGCGATGATCATTCTTCACTTTCATACGTCCATTTGGAAACAACTTCTTCATAGAATCGACTCTAAAGGTGCTGTTGTCTTGTTGTTCGATAGACTTTACTCATGCTTGTAGTTCTCAAGTCAGGAATCCAAATGATGCACTAAGAACAACCGCAAGGGTCTCCACACGTCTGCAGATCAGTCCACATCTCTCTTAGCTCCTCGGGATCGTTTTCTGGAGAGGTAAAGGTTCCGGTATCACACTCGCGTCCACAAGACCAACGGTAATCCTGTAAAACGATCATCAATAATAAAATGGTTTACTGTCTTCGGTAATAGGCTGCAAACTGAAAATACAAATGAAACCATCAATTACTGCTCATGTGATGGATTGTCCGCTACATATAAAAGCAAGATAATTCTAAGAGCTGTCTCCATGTAAAAGCAAGATTATTTCTAAGAGTTGTGAGCCACGTCTTCTTTTTTGCGTTAATGAAAGTACCACTGAGAGATATCGTGCACTAGTCCAAATGTTGGCTTATGCGTGTGCGCAAATTAAAATATTGCACATTTCGGCACCTAATCTTGAGGAAATCTATTTTTTGGTAAAAAATAGCTTTCTCAGCAAAACTAAGGCCCATTTATAGTCATTGCAGTCAAAAAAACTGATTTAACAGTTAAAAACGACATTTGTTTGTGAAAATTTGGCAGTCAAAGGGTTAATGAAAGCGAAACACAGACAGAAAGACAGACAGAAGGAGAGACAGGCAGACGGAATGACGGACGGACGGACGAATGAACAAACGAACGAACGAACCAACAGATAGGCGGACGGACGGACTGACGGACAGACAGATAATGATCGTCAGCCAATATCCAATGGTAGATATGTAGGTGGGTACACAGTGCTTATTGCAATTCATTTGGCAACAATGCAAGGACTTGCCATTGCTTTTAGGATATATACAGAGATTTCTAGATTGCACCAAACATGGTACCAAAGGATTCTAACTAAGTATCATTCAGTAAGCTTGTTATAAAATATGCCTCTAGAGTACCTAGTGTACGTGTCTGTTAGTGATATGAACAAAGTAAACCTACTTTGACAAAGTTAGGTCCCACCGCTGAAAGCCAGATGCCTACCGACACGTCTTCACCCTGCAAAGGTAATAAATAAAGTGAAATGCACAGGGAATGTGACAATAATTCAGCTGTAAAAATGCTCCGCTTGTACCTGATATTGTTTAAGGTGAACTGCATTTAGCGCCAGCCATTTCACAAGGTCAGCGGACAGAACATTTCCTGCGCCACAAGCGAACGTCGGGTACACTGGAGCCGTGTAGTCAAGTTCCCGCCATTTTCCCACGCGCTCCACCGGCCAATCAGCACGAAACCTGTTGAGAGCCAGGCGTGATGTAAAATGGGTTTACCTGATACACGTGATGAAAATGGCAATTTGACAGCACGCTCAAAATCGAGATTTTATGGTTGTATTACATTAAAGGATTCGTAGCATTCGTGAAGAACAGACGAGAAGCCTTTTTCAATACAAATCTCTTTCATTTTTGAAACTTTCAAAGCGGTATAAAAATTTCATTTAGACAACAACGGTCTCGAAACTGGTGCTGTTACTAATTTCATCATGTGGCAAGGCTTTCAAAGCAAGCACCTTATACATAATGTACCTTAACAGCTCAAGCAATATTGACGACTTGAGGCAATTGAGGCTAAAAGAACAAATGTTTATGCCTACCTTATTTACATTTATTCTCACCTGCTCCACCAGATACGTTCCTTTCCACGTAGTTTCATGTCACTGAGTTCCTGGAAGGCCAAATCGAGAAATCTACGTTAATCATAAAATGGTTAAAAACGAACAGATATAAAAATATCCATAGGAAGTCGGGTTGGTAATTTCAGCAAGTTTAAGTATAGGAAATCATGACCGCGGCGGTGTTTGGATATCTGATCTTAATTAGCATAGATTTTTACGATTTTATTTCTCCGTTTACTCCTTGGTTTCAGTTTCGATTGAGAAGAATATCAAATTCTCAAGACAGCGTTTGAACACATTTTGAAACACCTCGAAGTTCGTCAAAAATACTCCGTTACGCGTCGCATTTTCAACTCTCTTCTCGGTGTTTGAAAATGTGGTCAAACACGGTCTTTCGGATTTGATATATTACTCAAAGTACAAAACACTTACCTTGATGATTGCTTCCACATCAACGAAACAGTCATCGTCTGTCTTCAGAGTAAAGTTAAACTGCATATTCATTACAATCCTGAAAAATCAATTTTTAAAAGAGCTGTTTGTTCGGAGACTGAGCTTTAAAACAGCCACTATAGTCAAGCGTTCTAAACCTCCTCTAGCAAATTCCTTGCGCTTTGAGCTGGGAATGGTTATCGGCTACTAATTTCATCAATTGGTAATGACAGAGTTGCCGCTCAAAGTTCAAGAAGTATTTACTGAAGGCACGAACAATGTAGAAAGCCATGCGTCTTCCCACGAAGACAGGCGTTTGGATAGCAGTTGCGGGGCCAGCCGCCGAGTCCTTCGCGTGCTCGCTCGCCTCGTTCTCTTTCGTCCACATTTTCGCTCTCCCCCACAAGCCGAGAATCTTAAACAGCCTAATGTAAAAACGAATGAACGAACGAACAGACGGACGGACGAACAAATGAATGATGGTACTAAAAGGGTGCACGCAGCACTAGCTATAAAGGGTAATTCATCGTGTACACTGTACGTTTCTGGTAAAGTTTAGGACAATGAGATTGGCCGTAGGTCCACACTCCGTACAAGGGCGGTGAAGCCGCGACGTTCCTGCGCGTCACAATAAAAACCGAAAAAGCCTTTAGCACCCAGGCTAGCCAGAGATGGAATTCTTTTCTAAACGTCAAAGTTTCCTACCAGTTGTAAAATTTGAGCAGTTTTTTGGGAAGATTGCGGTAAACATCAACAACATCCACCATCAGTATGTCATCATGTGCCCGCAGCTCACGCTGTAGTTCTTGTTCTTCTCGTAACAGTACTCCGCGCCACATTTCCTTTCTCTCTTTCGCATGTTTCCTTCTTTCCTCTAACTTTTCTTTTGAGAAGTCACCATCTGCGACTGAAAAAGTTTAAAATAGGATCACGTCCAGGGCTTAATGTTTCAAAATTGCCTCGACAGTTAGCTTAATTTACCAGACTAATACGTTTATGCATGTCTGAATACATGGCTGATCATCGCAGTTATATACAAAAATTCAGGCTTGAACGGGATTCGAACCCATGACCTCTGCGACGCCGGTGCAGTGCTCTACCAACTGAGCTATCAAGCCAACTGGGAGCTGGCCACTTTGTGAGTTCGTAATATACCTGTAGATGGTGAAGAATACAAGTGAATATACATTGTACGAAAGATCATGTATTTGAACCGCGAAGAAAGATGTGAAGACGTGATTGATCAGGTCTCTTACCGTAAGCACGATATAAAAACGTTCCAGCACCATACTGGTTGTTCTCTTCAAAGACTCTCTCCTCGTGCCCAGGAAACACCCCCTGTTCAACGCCATATCGACTAATCTAGAAACGTAACACAACAGTTGCGAGAAAAATTAAAAAAAGAGCACTTTAATCTGGAATTTCTGTCTATCACTAGCTAGTGAAGCCATTTTTTCCTGAAACCACTTCAACTAATCTGGTGTAAAAAGCGAGTGTAAAACTTGAAACTTGTTATCTAAATGTGGAGACAGGACCTTTTACGTCTTGCTCACCCACAACCTCGGAATGACACCAAAAGTACAGATTGGTGTTTTCTGCGCTTCGGCTTTTTTCATGAAAGCGCAAATGAGGGAAGTAGACACGAGCACAGCAACAGTACAAAGTACCGCACTAGCTGAACTTTTAATGTTCAAAAGGTAGACCCTCTGGGAATAGAAAGCACAACGCCAAGGAATATAACGGCATATAAATCGCAATTTATATGCGTATATCGTAATTTAATTTATATTGCAAAGAAAGAAAAAAACAAAAAACAAAACAAAACAAAACAAAACAACAACAACAACAAAAAAACAACAACAACAAAAACAAGGACAACAAAAATTTTCACTAACTCTGTGAAAAGAAATCAGGCCTCCACCATTGTCCAGGCCACCATGCATCATGGGATTGTTACTGCTTGGATCAGATGAACTGAAGTTTTCTGCAACAATGGAACCTTCAAACCCCTGATGTTGAGCTAAACATAAATGTCATAATTTAGTATAAATCTACCAGTGCTCCATCGCAAATGCTGTTCTCTGATTGACTATGCTACTCACTATCTATTCTGTCATAGATAGTGCGCAGCATAGCAGTGTGCCCTTGCTAACAAAATGATGGCAGCCTCTTGCCATTTTTGAAGTGTTTGTGAAGAGGATTTAGATAAAGTTTTGAATGACCAGTAGATTTACACTAAAACAATTATAGATTATTCTCTCTTGATTTCTATGTGTGATAGTTGACTTGGGCTGTGCCCTCATCAACTATCACACAATAGAAATCTCGAGCTCATAATCTAATATTGTTTAATATATCATGATGTATATGTACATAACTCAGAAGCTTACCTTGGGCAGGACAAAGTGATCGACTGCCTTGAATCTGCTGCCCCCGACTAACTCTCCAGGGTCTTCTGGGGTGAAGTTAACACTCAAGACTTCTTTCTGCAAAATATAATTCCATCCAATAATTAAAAATGGTTAAATTACAATACTACANCCCTCATCAACTATCACACAATAGAAATCTCGAGCTCATAATCTAATATTGTTTAATATATCATGATGTATATGTACATAACTCAGAAGCTTACCTTGGGCAGGACAAAGTGATCGACTGGCTTGAATCTGCTGCCCCCGACTAACTCTCCAGGGTCTTCTGGGGTGAAGTTAACACTCATGACTTCTTTCTGCAAAATATAATTCCATCCAATAACTAAAAATGGTTAAATTACAATACTACATGACCATATCAATACACATGTGCAAAGGGTACCACTTTACTCCGACAACAAGACCATTTTAATTTTCAAAGCAAGATTACATGTACATCAGGGCTATAGCCAGAGAAAAATATGACTGAGGCAATGTCCATGGTTAAATTCTCTTCCTAGGTAGTTAGGGCTTTATGATGAATAGAAACAACAAAAATGAACAAAAAAAATAATGACTGAGGCAAATGCCTCAGTTTGCCTCACACTGGCTACAGCCCTGAAAGTGTGCGGTACCATAGTGCTTTTGCATGTAGTGTGACGTGTGAATTAATATCGTTTTATTATTATCAATAACCTTTCTGTTACTTGCACATTCCATTTTAGGCACTCATATGATACAGTTATCTGTCTACCAACAACACAGTCATAATCAAATCACTTACTTGTGATATCCTGTCATAAAGATGAGCTGTTAAGCCACCTCTAAATCCATCTGAATTGCTGTCAAATACTCCAAGCTGGGTAACAACAATGGGCAAATTCACCTTCAATTAAACAGAACCACGTCACTGTTAATTTCTGATGAATAGAGCACTGCAAAGGCTACCAATTAAGATCTTCCTACACCCACAAGTAGAATTGTTATTAGTTGAAACAACAATCTACCTCTGTCTAAAAAAACAACTGCTATTTTATTTGGACCTGTCTAGAAAAGTCTTATTCATAACAAAGCCCACCAAGCTTATTACAATATAACTTTGCCAAAAAGACCATGAGTTTCTGGTACAATCTGAGATGTCTACAGCAACACAAACCACCTACTCTAAAGTCCATTCCCAGTGGTCCTTGGTAAATGTGGAATCCAACAGCACCCTTAGGGACCCTGTACGCTATGATATCTTGATCAAGCACTGAGAAAAGAGTTGAAATATTTTATCCTTAATGGTTATGTCAATCTTTAACTACCAAAGTTCTTATATTAATTGACTGAAACAAAGTAAGAACAAGTCTGATAGCTAAGTAATGTAGCACTTGTTTATGCAAAAAAAAAAGATTAATGTCAGGCACCTGGGTCAACTAAGGTATCAGGCTCACAAGAGTACTGGTCCAGTCTGTCCTGAGGTGGTATGTGACATGGCTTATCACCAACAATGAATTTGATTAACACCCTGAGGCATATTTTAAAACAAAACACACAGTAAATAATGATTGAAAAGGGGAAGGGAAAGGAGGGTGAACCACCTACACTACTGTGTGATTACAGTGAAATATGATACACGTTTTACCTTCCAAATAAAAGTGCTATGCATTGTACTGTTGCCACTTGGGAAAGTTTTTGATTAACTTTTGACATCTTTTTGACCGTTTTTTGCCTGCTTTCAGCACACATTCTTAATAGTACTCCGTACAGGTATTTATGAAGCTAAAATCTTGAGATCACCTTTTCTGTAAGACCGGGTGGTTTAGGACATATCCAACCCATGTTTCTCTGAGTGCTTGACGGGGTTCATTATTGCCTCTTGCCGACAAGATCCCAATCACCATGTCATAACTTGGTAGTGCAGAGCTCTCTTCAGAGAAAATCAACAACTACACTTTACTCCTATTTTGTCATTATGTTTCTTACTAGATAATCCAGCATGGAGGGAAAGTAGAACAGAGAAACACTTAACCATGAGAATACGTTTTTCAATCTCTGAATATCCTTGATTAGAATGTGAACTGCTAAA